TCACTTAAGCTATGCCATCTACTCGAAAATCATACCTTAGGATCATAAAATGGGCATTTTATGACGGAAAGGATTAAGAAAATGACATTTTCTTAGTGTCTGTTTCACCTTTTTCTTGACGGTTGAGTGGCTTTAAGAGCTTCTTTCCTATCAAGAAATTGAACTGGCCTTCTTGGAAAGGCTGAAAGCGACTAAACATCAGCTCACATTCGCAATGTAATCAGGTTTCTCACGATACACCAGAATGCAAAATGTACGGTCAATCTCATTTTCTCTCATAAAACACATTCTACATAACAAATCATGGCTGTAGCCGTATTTAGGATTCGTGTCACATTTGTACATAGCCTATGACTTAATTAGCTGCCAGTAGGTAAGTTGTCGGTCACGCTCGAAACGTCAGCTTTAGATACTCTTTACGGTGACAAATTTAAATAAGTTGAAAAAATATACATCAGTTGATAAAATCAAATTGCCTGTAGCTTAGTTGGTCGGTTATTAGACAACAAAATCGGTCGAAAAGTGTGAGGTTCGCATCTTTATCGTTTGCCATCTATCACGGAAAATTTGGCTTCTTATTGATCGTTTTATGGGACTTTTTGATGCATCTAGTTTTGCTTTTTCCCAACTGCATTTATCAGCAATTACACTCTGCAAATTAGAGGCGCCTGAACTGAAGGGCTGTTAAACCATAACACCTAAATTATGGAGAAACACTGAATTAACTTACTTGTGTGAAGCCTGAAGGTTTATTGACTTTCCGAAAATCAAGTGAATATAAACTCCGAAAGCCTATCAGCTATGAAAACGTTTGGTAGTAAAGAAAGTTTTACACTACTTATATCACTAATCGATGGAAATTATAAGGAAGTGGTATAGCTCATCTAGAGATGCCGCCTTTCATTGAAACGGTGTCAGCTTAAAGACACTCTTTACATTCGCTTTGACTAAGAGCTAACGCTCTAAACGTTAACTTTAGAAAATCTGAACGGTGTCCAATTTTTATTATCATTTTAGTTGACTAAACCAAATTGTCTATAGCCCAGTTTATCAATGATCGGACAGCGAAATTAGTTAGATAGTTTGAGGTTCGAATCCTCATCGCGACGAAATGAAATATCTTCTGGTTGTATGTTCGTGACAAATGCTCGCCATGTAGCCGGCTAAAAATTTGGCCTCTAAGGGTCGATTTATTGGACTTTTTGATGCAGTTAGTTTAGTTTTGTTTTTTTTTACCAGGTATTTTTCAACTGCATTTATCAGCAATCATACACTTTGCAAGTAAAAGACGCTTTAAAAGGCTGTTAAGCCATAAACCTTAATTATGGAGAAACAACTAACTTACTTGTGTGTAGCCTAAAGGTTCATTGACTTTCCGAAAACGTATGAACCATGATAACATTAGGTAAAGCCTTCATGAAAATTGTACATTACCAATATTACGGATCAGTGGAAATTACTAGGAAATGATATGACTCATTTAGAGATGTGGCCAATAATTACAGCAACCGAAAAATAACAGAACCTTTGAAGAGAGCAGTGAAATCGTCCACTTGTATAAACCTCTACGAAGGCAAGGGGAACTTATATTTTTCTTTATTTAAGATATTTCTTGACGGCTGAATGGCTATTAGAGTTTCGCTCCTATC